AGTATGCGCAACAATGTTTCTAAGCACTAGCCGCTGCTTAAAACTGGACGTTTCTTTCTCTGGGCGGATAACCGTCTGAGAAAAAAATGGCCTTAAGAATACCTTGTTCAGAACACAAAACTCGACCGATTGTTTCCAAACAAGAGTTTATACAACTATTTTTTTTTTCAATCCGTTTATTGGTTAAATGATGAAACATTCCTCCATTCTTCTCTATCCAAAGCGATTTCCTTTAATTCTCTATAGCTATGATCCTTCTCCTATATCCAACATGGTACCCTACAACTATACTTATATCTAAAGAATAATGCAAACATTAATTATTATTAATTTTAAACAAATGGCAATTTTGGTAGTGTTTTTCAGTATTGATGGAAAATGGTAAGTTTATAAATTTTACCTCGAAGTGAATACAAAAAATGAACCTCGAAATAAAGATGCCATAAATAATAATTGAAATTTAATAAAAATAATTGTTTGCCATATATCCCACTTAATAATGGGCCGAAAATAGAGCCCTCGAGTACCTTCAAAAAATGATTTGTAATCCATGTAAATAGTATAATATAAAGAAATTGGTCAAGCGAATAAAAAGTTATCATAAGTCCAGATCAAAAAATGTAAAATAATTTAAAACTAATCTTGGTAGTAAACGTATTCAACATTATACTTAAGTAGTTCTATTTGTTTGCTATTGAACAATGAATCTAACAACATTATAACTATATAGTCTAAATCAGTTAAAAGTGTATGATTTATTGATAAAGAAGGATAAGCTTATACAGAAAATACGTGTAATAAATTGTTTATATTTTAACTAATGAAGGACCATTTATAGATTTACATAGTAAAGGTGATGTGAGTCTAACATTTCCTTGTCATTTTTAATGTCCATATCGATGATAAAAAATTACAATAATAAAAATTTGAACTATAAATTAATCCAATAAAAAATATTCTAAGTTGTTTTTAATGTTTTACAAAAAATATTTATTTTAGCTATACCAAGTAACCAAAAACAAAATATTTTATATACTTTCATTGTTAATAGCTTGTTTTTTTTTTTTATGCTACTCAGTAATGCTTTTATCAATCATCAGTTAAAAACCCGAAACGTTAATTAGGTCCAATTGGATTCTACCCAGTACAAAGGGTGATAAATCTTAAAATAACGTCGACGAAAATTATCTTACGAAACGTCCACACAACCGTTACTGTACATAATATGACATAGATTTACATCTAAAGAAATATAAAACAAAATTTAATACTTTACTATATTGAGTTTGTTAATTAAAAATCAAAATTTGTGCACATATTTTTTTGAGAGAGAGATGAACAATAAAAAGTTAATATATATATATATATATATATATATATATAAAAACAAACACATATGTATTAATGAGTATGGGCGCGTTTAGCTATATTCATAAAATAGATAGTATGTAGGTGTTTAAAAAAATGAAAAAAATTGTCTACATAACACCATAACAACAGTGTGATACACAAATGACCACTTTTTTCTCACAGCCGATCAATTTGATTAAAAAAAGTATTTTGTAATTTTATAGATTTTGATACTGATTCAATGTTTTAATGCTCAAATAATTCTCCATGCGGCACCATATCTATTACATTTTGAAATTAATAGACAACTACGGTATTTATTCTTTTCGTCCTTAACGTCATCCCTGAATTCATCTGAGAGTTTCTGAGGAATGTTAAAGTCAAATCTTGTTATACAGATACGAGACATTTTTGACCTAAGATGTACATAATATATAAAATACAAATTAAATAAAACATAATACATTTTGCGAGATACATTATGACTGTAATTTTGACTTGTAATTTCTTAGTAATGATACTAAGAATCATTTAAAATTTATTTGATACATTTATGTAGGTTCTTAAGTAATTTAAGTATTCTTAGATTCTTTATAAAGCTCAAGTATTTAATTTGCATACGTTTTTTTATTATTTAAAAAATGTCATTATTTTTTCATTATTTTATTATTCAAAAAATTAATGTTATTTTTAATAAAGTTCGAAAGGGATTTTTAATTTTTCATTAAATAACAATTAATTAATAATTAATTATTAATTACCCAACATCCAACGTTGGACCTAATTTTAAATGCATTGAAAATTAAAAATAATTTCCTATAATTATCAAGATACTTACAGTGACGTATATATTTGAAAAAATAAGATTATTAAACGTTCTTTTAGTATACGATTAAGTGGACAGTTTTTGAACAATAATGTCAACTATATGAATACAAGTCATTCTACAGTAGTACAACTAAATAATACTTTAAGATATCGGTGCTTAAAAATTATAAGCCAATTTATCTATCATAGTTCCACCAAATTAGTTGAAAAAAATTTCATGCTTCTTGTTCAACTAGAGGTTTTTTTAAAAATAACATTAAAGAGATTCGATACCGGCCGTTTTTTTCCTCAAAACACATCATTTTTTGTCCACCGTACAGGCCGAACCCGTAATCCGATAAATAATTTGAAAACAGATTTGAGTTTGTTATGTTTCTTATTCATAGTAAGAAAATGATATAAAAAAAGTATCTTGTAGGATCCCAAGTAAACTTGATAACGAATTCAAATCTCTTTTCAGATTACTAATCGGATCACTGGTTCGGCCAGTGCGATGGACAAAAAATGTAATATTATATTAACTAAAATGGCTTTTACTCATAGACAAAATGATATAAATTAAAAATAATACCATGAAGCTTATACAAATTAACCAGTAAATTAATTGACATGTTCAAAAACCACTTTTTTCTTAAATATTGCCTATACAAAACTCCTTAAAATGGTCGGTATCGAATCCCCATAATATATTTACAAGCTTCCGAGGCAGAGTGGGATAATACACGGTTGCCCGTTCGAATCTCTTTTGGCGGTTTGGGCGTCCTCTGAGGTGAAATGGCCACCTGAATCTCTTGGGTGCCAACTTGTTTCCAAACTAGCGTTAGGTGGGCAAACAGCTATAAACCGGGAAAATGCCAATTATTCCAATAAAACATCATCGGTAGAGAATACGCAGACGTTAACGTAATTTCATTTTCAATTATATTTATTAATTAACTCAGTGATATCTAATTAATTTTAAAAATGTATTATTATTTACACAAAATAAACAAATTATAAACGTCTAGAACTAAGTATAAAATATAAAAATCAATATGTAATTGAATCAACAATTTATTCTATTAGCTTTTAATTTGGTTTAGTTGACAATTATTATTTTATATCCGTTTTATCATAATGGTACTGTAAGAAAAAATGGCAATATCTCGAGGAATTTAGTACTCGCTTACGCTTTTTAAAATATTACCTATTTTTTTTTAATGGGGAACTGTTGGTTACATGACTTCCCATTATTATCTATTTCCTGGTATCTTTTAGTATACATTTATTTTCTTCACGGTCTGCTTGTTGTAACGGTTGTTTTTACATTCGTAGTAAATCCTTTCTAAATCCTTTATGAAAAAAAGAGATTGAAACAAAGATCGCTTTTTGGAGAACCAGACAAGTCAAGTCTAAAAAACGACGTGGATTATACGCACGTTTAATTTCTTTTTCTCCTCTTTTGTATTTTGTAACATTTTCTTTTACAGCCCTCTTATGAAAACATTCTTTTGAGATTAAGAACAGTTTTTTTTACGGTTAGGTTATCGAAAAACAAACTCACTAGAGACGCACTATTAGTAGAAGTAAAGTGTTTTACACTTTACTTCTACTAATAGAGTGCGTTTAACTTTTACGCGTTGCTGTACTTAATTCATAATACTATATTGTTCTCATTGTCTAAAATATCATATGGAAATCAGATTATCTTTAAATTTAAGCAGAAAGTTTAAAAAACTCACTGTTTTAGTCTTTCAAGGCAGACGTTATATATTTCACGAGAACCTAACTTAACCTACCATTTTTGGGAAGGAGGAGGGGATGCCTCAGTTAGAATTATTTGCGCCACTGTATATTTGTCATAAATATTTTCATAAACTAACATTTTTGTCATAATTATTTTTTATAAAACACTGAATTCAAAAAACACAATTGGTCTGAGAACTTGAAAAATCTAGAGTTTCACAAAACTTTTCATCTAGTCATTTGAAAGTCTTATAAATGTCTAACATAAATAACATTTTTTTTTTTAAGTGCCTAAGGGCATTTTTATTTAAACGATTAAAAATCGTTATAAATATAAATCAAAAGAGTATTAATACATACATATGAGTAAAATATATATACACATATACAAAACATGTGTGGGGTTCTACTTCCAGTGAAGTAGTCCTATTCTTAATCTAATAATTAGACTAAGTCGAATGGCTTCAGTCGTTTGAGTCGTCTGATGTCTTGCGAGTTGTCGAGGAGTTGTATGGCAGCTGTATTTAAGTGAAGCTCCAGTCTTTTTGCGTGTTTGCGGGCAAACCGGGTAATTTCATCCTGCACGGATGTTATTTTTAGATCGCGGTGGATGATGTCGTTCTTATCATACCGATATGCTGCAACAAGCAGCATATCGGTTAATATTTTTTTATTGTTATAAATTAAAATATTAATATAATGTATTTTTTACGGTTTTTGACAATATATTACTTCCTAAAATTTTCTTACTTGAACTAAAAATATTTTTTATATAAAATTAATTAGCTACAATAACTATTAATATCAGACACTTCTGTGACTTAAGTATGTGAAGAATATAAATGTAGTGGTTTGGATTTGTATGAGACTTATCCCAATAGACCGTCTTCTTTATCATAACCAATCGGTTATATTATCTAAGTGTAATTTAAGTCACAGTTCATTTATGTCTAATCGACAATGTGCATTCTTAAATATGTGCGTTTAAAAAAAGTAAAAATATTTTTTTTTATAAATAACTTAATTTTATGCTATGTTTTTATTTATTTTGAGTATATTTATATTGTATTAATGAAAGTGTTATTGTTGTTTTACAGTGTAGCGGCACGGGTGGCAGCATTGTAAGAGACTGTCGATGTTGCTCGATGGTACGACGGTCAGTAGGTGAATATCAGTGTCCAGTACTGATGGTAGTTCCCAGCAGTAATGGCCATAATAAAAAGCCAATGAACACATCGAAGAAACCAGAAACTGGTGGTAAAAAGCTTAGGTTCCAATTGGCTAAAGAACGAAAGGCTTCCACTACTTTGGGTATTATAATGAGTGCGTTTACGGTGTGTTGGCTGCCATTCTTTGTACTGGCCCTTGTCAGGCCTTTCTTGAGTGATCCATCCAGTATACCCAGCTCACTGAGTAGCCTGTTTCTATGGCTAGGATATGCCAATTCACTCTTGAACCCTGTAAGTATTGATACACTTAAACTTTCTATATATCCGCAATAGCGACCTGCGAATTAGTATTATAAATTAGAACAACTATGTATAGGTAGATATTTAGTCTGATAAGCATAGTGTTAAATTAGGTACTAAAATTATCACTTTGTCAACGTCGATAAAATAAAAGTGTTCAAAATTATTTTCACTCAAAAGCCTGGTTAAGTTTTAAAAATATATGATTTTAACTGCCCACTATATTATTTTAGAAAATAATATAACCAACTGTGCTGCGCTGAAGCGTTATTGCGTATGAAAACATGTCTGCTATAAGTCTTTGTGTGCGATCATGGTTAATGGTTGTCTCGGCTAAAATATGTAATAACAACATGTTTTGTAACTTTTAGATTCATGCGCTTGTGAGAAAACCCGACGACAGATATGCCCCTTTGTGTTCTACGAGTGAGTCGCCTTGTGTTAAAACCTATCGTATCGTTATTATTTATCGCGCAAAATAAAACTTTTAAATGTAATCATAAATACGAGCCGTCGTTTTATATAGGATAGCTTGTAGCTGGGAGTAATATGTATAACACATACGACTACAGAAGATATTATGTATAGAAGACTTATTTCTTTGGAGTTAATGCGTTGTGCGCTAGATACAAATTATTATAGGAATAGCTGGGTTGTCAAAAGTTACATTACTTAGAACTGCCGAGAATAAGACTGATGTATCTGCTATCTAACCATAATGAAGCGTAGTTTGCTGACGTTTTGATTTTGTTCGTACGTATGCGGTACGTGTACGTGATACAAGGGAAAGTTCCCAAAGATCTTTGGGGAATACATTCGAGAAATCGCGCAAGTTTCTCAAAACTCATACGCCGCCGTGCCATATGCTCTCACATTGTATGCAAAAATGAATGAAACGCGCGCAATACGTAGGTAATATTGTTGTACACTAACTCTGCATTACATTGTATCAGAAGTCGGCTCTGTTGAGTTCGCGGAAAAGTCTTACGACGCACTCCGACTTTGATGCGCACACGCTATACCTTACAGCGGCTATTACAGCGTGCGTCGGACATTTACTGAGCATCACCGTCGTTTGCTGGTATGTTGCAGGTAATCTACGCGACGCTGAACCGTGACTTCCGCAGGCCGTTCCAGCAGATACTCTACTTTAAATGCGGCTCTCTGAACCACATGATGCGCGAGGAGTTCTACCACTCTCAGTACGGCGATCCCGAACCACAACACTCCACGCACTATTGCGTCATACCCGGCGAACCCGCTCTCGTGCCACATCGCACGTCCCCGTCGAGACAGCGACCAGACGACACGGCGGCCGGTTCCGCCGAAATCAGTCAACAAACCATGGCGTCCGAATCGTTCCTCTAGTAATCACTGGCAACGTAGGTAAAACATCTCACACGCGAACAGCGCACAAACGCGGTGGCCGACAATGTCCGACACAGTTCTTGCCAAAATCCGATTACAATATAGTGTTATAATTTACATAAGTATCGAACATAGCGGTTTGTTTAAACGAGAACAGCATTGTTTGGAACTTGTCCGATAGTTGTGTAAAACACGATTATTATTATATTATTTATTAATTATGTATGATAACAAAAAATGTATATTTTTCTCGTACTCGACGTGTATTTGAATAATAAATATAACATAATATTATAGACGTCAAGTAGGTATTAAGTGTGATCGCTAAACAAATATGAAATTATAGCATATTCAAAATTAACTTATAACCGACTTCTCGTGGCGTGGGTCTCGGACGTTCACCGGGGAAACCGTATTGACTATTAGATATGTATTTGTTGTAAAAAGTGTTTGATCTGTATTAACGACTTATGATAATTATTTATTACATTTATTTTTAACTTCGAATTGTTTTGTATTTTACGTGGAATTAACTTACATACTTGAGGGTACGTAATTATTTAGCAAACCCTTTTTTTCATGTCAAAACATTTAACTTGTATTGAATACAAAAATATATGTATGTATGTACCTATGTATAATATTATTTTTCTCTGAAAAAACAACAATATTGTCATTGTGAATATCGCTTGTTTATTTAAGAATTATTATTTTATCAATTTTACTGTTCCTACGTGTATTCATATTTTTTACCCAACCAATAATTGTATTATAATATAATATATATGTGAACAGAGCTTAGGTTGATCCAGCTATTATGTATTTATATAAATACTGATATATTAATTTATGATTATACCCAAAACACGTAAGTCACGTGAACACCGATATATTTCAATGTTTTCTTTTTAAATGTAAAATTTAGGTACAAATTCGCAGTTATCCAATTTTGTTTTGCTTTATATGGAATCTTGTTTTTTTTTCAATAATATATTATAATGTTTTGGAAGCTACAAACTAAATGGAATAAAATAAAATAGATTATTATAATACATATCGCCAATAAACAATTAAGTCAATTTATTGAATAACATTAAACACCGAAAATGCCCTAATAATATTGTACCTACTAGTGTATATTTAAGTAAATATAATGTTTTTCTAGTTTTACATAAACGCACATTTTTACACAGAAATTTTTATCACGAAGCGTCCAATTATGATTATATTATTGTTTGTTCATTTAGATAAAAAAAATGTAGTTTTCGGATAAAAAAAAAATTGTTATAAACCTAAGCATAACTTTAGTACTTCTCTAAATGTTCTCTAGTACCTATCAGTTTTTTAGACTTATTAAATGGATTTCTAGACATAATACTAAAATCGAATGTAAAAATATTTGTCTAATAATGGTGTTATAATATTATGTAGTTAAATATGTGATTATTTAATACTTTGTACCTTGTATTACTAATCGATGTGATAGATACACGTTTTATTATTATTATTTTCTTTATCCGAGGATAGGTTCTAGTTGCGTCCCAACTCCGAGACCAGGTAAGACTTAAATTTATTTACGAATTGCGTCCCGATGACTACTAAATCCTTAATCGCATCCCAAATCTAGTAAAATTTAAAGGTCTACTCTAGTTGCGTCCCTTTGTTGAGTGCCATAACAGAATCAGTGGGTCCTACTTTTCAATAACGTGAAAAGTACTTTTATAATGTTCTTTAAATACTTTAAAATAAATAAAAAAATAAAAAATAGGGTGTACTAAACATTAATTGCAATCAATACATTTCATATAGGTACCTACTACTTACAAATATACCAGCAATATAATATTACCAGCTTAGTACCTACATCGTACTCCATGATAAAATGTATGATCCGGGCCGTCGCAAGGCATAAGCAACATAGATATATTGCCTATGCCAGCATTTTATTAAGGGGGTAATTTTTTTACAAATTGAACATTTTTATAAGCTAATAATTTAAAAGGCGGCAAAATTGTAGTTTGTCTAAATTGAAATATTGTCAAGCACTTTGATTTTAAAATATACTAATAAGCGGTGCTATACAAAAGAATGGTAACCCATTTTATGTGGGATTCCCCCCGTCAACAGAGGTATTCTGACCATAGTGTATGAACAGGCGGATGGTAAACTATGACGAGGGTACCTACGATGACGGCGGGAATCCTGGATCAAATCGGTCGCCGTTCTTGTGTACAGCACCGCTTATATGTAAATTTAAAATCAATAAAATGAATAACGACACAAAAATATTAATGCTGTTTTATTTCACGCAGCTGTGATTAAACTGAGCTTAGCAGGCAAATCATAGAATACAATTATATATAGTTGTACATGACGTATGCTCTATAATCGGTAACAAAGTAATTTAAGTAGTAATTAACAAAGTAATCAAGAAGGCGAGAGACAGTGTATACATATATATATATTCAGTTATAAAAGTATATACAAATAAATGTATATACAGTATAAAAGTTTTATAAAGTATAAAATAAATATACAGTATACAAAAATTAACACTTGTTTATAAGTTGTTAAACACTACCTAAGATAATCCTTATTAGTTATATAGATTAATAGATAAATTTTAATTTTAAATGATAATATGATACCTGATAAGTCATATGTTTTGTATTAAATGGTTGCAGTAATGAAACAAAATAAAAATAATATGTTCTATAGAAATGTAGATTCGTCTTTCTGGTTACACTGCAGCTCGCCTTTTCGTATACTTTATAATATTTTACTTCTTGCGATCCTCTGGTGTAGGGTGAAGGAAGGTATTTTCGTGGCATAAGCAATTTCGTGGTATAGACGTGGTTAAAATAACTGTGTTTTAACAATCAGTGTGATTTTCAAGACAATTTTCTAATAGGGAATTACGCGATACGATCAACAAACTATATCACGAAATTGCTTATGCCACGAAAATACCTTCCTTCACCTTATATTGCCTTTTGGTTACGATAAGAATGGGGCGAAATTCATAGTTTCTGGGACGCAATTAATATTTGCTCTTCATTATCGCTTGTTTTTACGGTGGAGTATTATTATTATTGTTACCGTAAAATAAGGCAAAAGATATATTATGTATGATAATTAAACATATATAACAAGCGATGTATCAATTGCAATATTTCGGAAATGTGTAAAAATTCTTCCGAAAGACATTTAGGTTGAGACATGTAAAATAATACTTTTTAGACACGTCGAGTTAAATTGTTATAAAATATTTAGTAAGTAAAAATATGTGTTTTAATATAAAAAAAAAAATAATAATATAAAAAATGTATATAATTGTATATAATATTATATTATGCTTAAAATGTATATTATCCTTATTTCACGTTACCAAACATGCTTCTATCTGGGACGTTTTCGATATGAGAATATTATAATTATCTTGTACAACGATTATCTTTTTTGTTATAATAATAATAAAGAAGGAATAATATTTCACCGTGTTTAAACTTGTTTTTTTAAATTCCATTGATATTATATTTACTATATTTGTAGAACTCACTCAGAATTATTCTAAACTCTAGTGCCCATAAAATAAAAAAATATAAACGCCCCTAGCTATATTGCGCAGTTTTTGCTTAAAGTGGAAAAATGTTTTTAACTAATTATTAGTCCAGGAATTTGAAGTAAAACTTTGGAAAATCTCATAATATATTTTAAATATATTATAATATATTGGAAGCTACACAGCGTATAAAAAAAATTATTAACCGGTGAAATTAAAAAAAATGATATGACTAATGCGCAAAGTTGCCTGAGAGAATACATTGTCATACTGTCAAACGATTACTTACAAATAATACCACGATAATTTCCACGATTTTGACATTTTAACTTGGCAAAATGACAGTAGGGAAATGTACGACTGTGAGATTACATCATAACACCACGTGCATTTTAAACAGCTCTAAGACATATTATGTACATATCATTGCTAACAAATAGAGATTACAAATTGTGTTAAATGACTTTGATAGTGTATATATATATTGTATAATATCATGGACCAGCTTTTATCATGGGCCACTCAATAGCTCACAGGGTTTAGTAAGAAATTTTTTTTTTTTTATACTTCATGTTGTTTTTATACAATGTGATCTCAATTTTTCACAATTTCTTTTTACCTCCCAACTTAGTTTTTTTTGATAGCAGCTTTTGTACATTAAATGGTAGTTCATATATTTTATTAACTTTTTAAATTTAGAACAATGTACTAAAAATATTGACTGGTTGATAACCAGTTTTGGACAACTATTTTTAAAGTTATAAGATTTTAAAAGTTATGATGGGAGGGGAAGTGCGGTCGGGAAATGCACGCAGATAAAAAAAATACAACACTGTACCTTTCCTCCTGCCCTAAACTTGAAACTTCAATAACAATAGTTAACCGGAATTGGTTATCGAACAGTCAACATTTTTAGTACATTAAAAAAATAATAAAATATATACGTTACCATTCAAAATTCAAAAGTTGCTGTCAAAAAAAATAAGTTGGGAGGGGGTAAAAACAAAAAAAGTTGTCAAAAATTAAGATCACATTGTATAAAAATAATACGAAAAAAATATATTCCTATTAAACTTCATGAGATATAAAGTGGCCCATGATAAGAGAATCACCTTGTATATATTCTAGTTATTATAATAATATGTAATAGGTTACATTATATATTAAATTCCTGAAATTTTTAATATTTTATGTTTTCTTATATATGCATTTTTAAATCTCTACTAGGTATTCAAAACTACAATAGTGATATTTATCTTCTATAAGTTTTTTTTGGAAATTTTGATTATTTCCAATAGCCAACACACTATGAACTCAATACTGCTGTTTCTCGCTTAACTATTATTTTCTACAGTAAAATATATTAATATTTTTAAGCTAAGTTGAGTGAGTGGACTCAACTATTTCTGACTTGTTATGTATAATCCCATCATATAAGTAAAGTTAAGCCTCTTTATGTTTGGATGAATATATGTTCTGACGTGACGTGGGACGGTTTTTATTTAGTTTAATATTAAATAATCTGTGACGTCCGAATTGGGTTTAACTTTTACACTAAGTGACAAGTCACCCCTAAAAGTCACCTTTTGTGTAATATAATTATACACCAGAGATATATAAATAATATTTTAATAAACGCATTGCTAAGGAAATTTTTAAAAACATAGTTACAGTTACTAAAGCAGTTAGCATTTGGTAGCTACTTGGCTTTTACTTTTTTAATAATTGATTGGTGAAGTCTAAATTCTATAACAGACTAAGTGACGATTTGCTAACCATCCCAAATGGTGACCATTTGTGTAGTAAAATATTACAGTCTCAATTTTCAATTTTCTTTTGAAAATTAATTCATTATTTAGAATATTTATTAACTATACAACAACATTTGGCAAGAAATATAAATAAAATAAGTTAAACGTTGTGTCATGTTGGAATCCGGGTAGGTTAAAAGTCGACTTAACCAAACTCGGCCTTGCTATAAACTATCCTTTATATGTCAAAGTTTATTCATATAAGTAGCTAAAATTTTGTTAGCATGTTTGCGTACATTATACATGTTTAATTTGGTACTCCTAAAAACCAAACCTAGACCGTGATGGTTTTAATCCAATATTCTAGGTCTGCGTGTGAGCAAAATTTTTTTTTCGGGAACCTATTTAACGACTACGTAGTACTTACTATACTATAAAACAGTGGCCCAGTCCTGTCCTGCTACAAGTATTTTTTTTAATTTTTAAAGTTCAATGAGTATTTTGCATACTTTTAAAATCTGAATGCCTAACCGAGCATAGCCTAGTGTAACAACTAGTAAAGTAATAAAATGTACACAGCTGATGTTTAAAGTGTTCAAATGTTGAAAATTAAACCCAATGCGGTTTAATTTCATATTAGTTATTACTAATATAAATATTCAATTTACTGTACATGTACAATACAATTTATACTATAATTGTTTATAGAAAAATCGAGAAATAAATACATTATCAAAAAGTTCAACATCTAATCCTAATTTTAGAATTGGGATTAGACCTTAGTCTATACTTAGTCCTTTGACTATACAAGCAATTAGTTAACACGCCTTGCTTAGGTCTTTTAAATGTTCGTTTAAGGATACTTTATATTGTCTTTTACATGTTCACCATTCCGAATTTCCAACCCATTACTCTTAGTCTAATGGTTTTTGCTTACTTACGTACTCACTGGCTTGAATATAAAATTAAATGTAACACTGAATTCATTAGTATATTCACAGTCTTATTCTGATGCTGTATAATTACTATTTTCTATTTTATAGTATATTTAAAATATACTATTGAATGTTCAATTAATTGTATAATTAAAACATATAATAAGCTTAATTTGTTCTGAAAAACCCTTTTATTTTCCATTCATGTGCACTGGATCAAAGATGCCCAGCCAGACTAAAATATTAATAACTTAATAGTGCATTTTGTATTGTAATTACAAAATAAATTAAACTAAATAATATTAAACTTAAATAAAATGTTGTTAGTTAAATTCTGATACTCTATCCGTACTCAAAGTCTGCAATTATTAAATCGGTGTGGTCTACGAATTTAAAGTGTTATAACGGGTTCTGCATGGCCAGCTCTCAAAAAATGTACGGAATCATTAGTAGAAACTACGGTTATACACAAATATTTCTTGAATACTAAATTTTTATTTCTCCTCCAAATTTTCGGTACTACTTAAAAATAAAACTAATGGTATCGTATAAAAAGACACGATAATTTAATAGGTCATGCTGACTATAAATGCTGGCTATTCCAACATCGCAAAACTATTATTCATTTGTTTTGTAGTAAAACATGTTTGATAGTTTGGTTAAATTAAGTTTTCTTATCCTGTCTTTAGTATTATATAGATATAATGCAATAAATCCTTCTTAGTCGTAATAAGAAAAATTTAGTAAAGTTATTGCAAGTGGTAGTAATTTTGATAATGCTTGTATAAATCGATTGGAGAATAGTTATATACAATAAAATGGTTGTGTATTTTTAAAATAGTAACAAAAAAATTAACTTACTTAAATTTATAAAATCACATTTACAGGTAAATCGTTTGTGTGTATATTTTTTTTAATAGAAACAAAGTGAAATATTATCCAGTTATTTGATATGGTGGTATATCTGATCCGTATTAATTTAGTTTTTATAAGTTGACAAACCCTGTGAAGCTTTACTGATGGCGATGGTGGACACCTACTGTATTTATCATCATCCGTCAGCCTTCAAATTGTCATAATGTTTTCATTCACATAATATAATATTACTATAGAAAAAAATAATATTACCATAAAAGTGATTCAGTATAGATGGTAATATTTTTCCAAAATTAATAACTAACCACACTGTTTTTTTAAAATAGATAAAATAGATAAATACTTACCAGCAAAGTAGTATAAAATATTGGATAATAATTTATATGATACGCGTACACAAAATATGAACTTTTTGATAATATTCATCCAATTCAGCCGTTTAATTGGTGAAAAATAATATAAAATACAATTTCGATATGTGTTATCCAATATTAATAATTAATTAAATACGCATTATTAATTACAAGAAAAATACAAAATATACTTTTAAACTTAATTATTAAAATTAATTGTTTGTCTGTTCGTGTATGTGAAGCCCAGTCAAATCTGCGGCACCGAGGGATCTGATATTTTTAACATAGCAGGAAGAAAGGGGGGCCGAATACACCTCAAAGCCTAGTTTTTAATTTTCTTGTTTGTTTTTTAGGTATTAGTTGCTATTTAGGTATATGTTAGCTGAGGACTTTATCAACATTAACCAAAGAAAAAATTGTTTAAATAAAATAAAATTGAAAGAATATCAAGATAAATGGAAAAGAGTCGCAGTATACAAACTATTACCTAGCAGAAAAGTTTAAAAAAATTGATTCGTCTACTACAAAATCATAAATCGTGCCACCGTGATTCCGAAAACATTTTCTTCAATACATCGTTATTGTGATGAACAGTAATTGAATACCTTTCTTTCAAAACAAGTCCTAAGAGCTACATTGTATTTGCCCACAAAGGAAACGCATCATTCGCAACAATACGTAAGGTTAGATAGCTTCCTGGGAGTACCTTAGCTTGTCTCATTGTCTGAAATTTTTAAGTATCCATCTTGACATTTTTCATAAAAT